TGAGGATGATCAGGACATGATCAGTCAGAGCGGTCCGGGATGCCTTGGGTGCCCCTGCTGGAGCAGGACCGGTCGACGTCTCATTGTTCGTCGTTTCTTTCGTCCGAGGTCCTTCACTGACCGGTACCACCGAAAGTCTTCCTCTCCGAGTTTGGGCGGCTCAAGACCTTTTTCAAGCGGCAGGTGATGACCTGCTGATGATCGTACCAGCTGACGGACGGGCTGCCCCTCCCAGCAGTTCAATGCTTTGACCAACGTCCCATCCGACCGATAGGGGGCCGCGGAAAGCCCGACGTGGACCGTGGCACCGGGGCACTCCGACTACGATTCGGCACCGGACTCCGTTGGTCTTTCCCAGGTCGGGGTCCCCAGGTCCTCAGATGGTCGAGTCGAAGAAGGGTCGTGAATCACAGGTTTTGGGTCGTGACCCTTGGGTTTTCCGGTTTTGGTCCTTGTTTTCTTTGGGCCGGACCTCCGAGCTGCTCGGATGGTCCTGGACCCTTAAGTCATTACTATCAACCCTGGGCCTTGGGATGTGACTTGAGCACCTCTTCGGGTCCGATGTCCAAACTCTCCGGGACCTTAACCGACGCTGGGTCCACCAGCGACCGAAGGTCCTGGAGCCAAAGACGTCACGGGAAGACGCCACTTGCTTCGCTCCCCGAAGACGTCTCACCCAGCAAGTTGGTGCTCTGAAGTGGGCCACCTCGGCGCTGAAAAGGAAAGCGCGGAAGCACGTTCGAGGCCTTCAAAGCGTTCAGCCCGCGGTTCTCAATTTTACACCCCAGCGAATTAATGGCGAGGAACCTGAGCATTGACCCCATGGAAAGGCATTTTCCTTTACAACCAAGAGGGTTTGGGGTTCCATGATCCATGTGATTTTAACTGTTCTCCTTGTTGACCTGATGCTCAGGCTCCTTTTCTGGCCTCATGTTTCATGACACGAAGGTTTGGACATTGGACTTGATGGTTGTCGTCGGTCGGTTGGTTGTCATGGACAACGCTGGTCGACCCACCCGAGAATCTCACATCCCGTTTTCATTGTTCCACTCCACGGCCAGGCAGGGTGCCGCGGCTGCCGAAGCGGTCAGATCTGGTTCCAATCCTCCAAGATGGTGATTCATCAAAAAGCATGAAGGGATCTCTGATCGTTGAGGATTGTATTCATTCGATGCGAAAAGGATATCAGTTTCATGGTTGGGAGAAGGAGTTTTTGACACAGCCACTTGATACAGGATGATACAAGATGATTCAGAAACGCAGGTGGGCTCAAGAGCTTGCTTCGAAGCCAAGACATTTGAGAGATCAATAAACATGGCATCAGTGGCAGAGGCCGAGAGGCCATAGACATCAGCCATCATGCGGCTGACAATATGGAATTTTAACAGCGAACGACCCCTTACAAGATCAAGAGCATTGAATCCCATTGAAGAGGAGTTTCCGCTGTACTCGCCCCACCCGCGATGTTTGAGGTCGTCTCGGTGAACACATGTACGCAGGATGTTTCGCCCGTGCAATGCGAGACAGGCACTTTCTTTTTTCGGGTTCTAGAGGTTCGGGTAGTAGACGCTCCATGTACCTATGACCGAACCCTGTGTCAAACAACCGAAAGATGATCCGTTGAATGGAAGAAAGTCAGCATCCTTCAGTTTCTTCTGCCGTGCGGCATGTGGGCACTGCTGGCCACGCTGGCTTCCGACCTCCTGGGCCCGGAGGTGGGGTCTTCCGAAAAGACCGGTGTTCGACCGGGTTTTCAATGCCCAGGTTTTAGGGATCAATGTAAGAGAATGTAAGCATATGGGATGGTTTTCATCTCTCCACCGGTGTTTGACTCGAGCCTGCTAGATCTGGTGCGTACGGATGCCAGGAACTTCTGCAGGTCGTCGGATGTGCTATCGCCAACGAGGCCATGTCCCGGTCGATCATGTCGGACGTGTCCGGCCCCAGTTCGGCGGCCGGTGAAGCCGAACCAGAGAGACCATTCTCAGTGTTCAGTGGGAGAGACATGGTTTTGCAGTCTCAAGTCCGTAAAACTGCTTCCTTGGGACCCATTGAAACCAATCTTGGTCTGGTTCCTCTCAGGGCGATCTTGCCCACACCCTGCGGGCCAGGCACGGGTCCGGCACGGGCACGGGCGCCACGGGTGGATCGAAAGGAGATCGAAAGGACGAAGGCTGCTTCGTAGGCCGGCCGTAAGAGATAGCGACCGAGTCGACGGCAAGTGGAGCACCTATGAAATACCTACTACCAGCACCCTCCAACAGGTCTCTTCTGGAGGCTTTTGGAGGTGGTGACCTGTTGGAGGGTCCTGGTAGAGTTCTAATTCTGTGCCGTGTGGTCCTTTTTTTCTGAGGCGCTGTTTGAGTCACGGGGAACATGGTGGGAACCTGGGCAGAACTTGTGCCCGGAAAGCAAGTGTTGTTCTTCCTTCTGGTGGCTGATCTGAAAGAGTTTTTCTTTGGCACAAAGACGTTTTCTCAAGTGCAGAGTGCATCTCGCCGAACGTCGAAATACTCATGCTGCAAGTTTCCTGGGTGTTGGTCACAAGAAGAATGCTCGATCTCTAGCTGAACAGTAGGCCGAACAGGAGTTGCTTCAAGATCCTGAAGTATGGCTGACGAGAGATGGTAGTCCATGTTTTCAATCATATTTCAATGCTTGCTGGCTCAAGGGGGGGCGCCAGGGTTGAACCGCGTCATTGCATCAACAGAGTGTGCGCACAGAATGATCAACCACGGTTTCCCTCCGCTGTTGGGGTACCAGACAAACAAGAAAGCCGTCAAGCTGGTGACTGAAAGGTACTGGAAGAAGCATACCTGGTGAACCAAGTAAGACCCTGTCCGTGCAAGGGGTTCAACCAACTGGAAGCTACCTGGGACATGTTACGAAAGATGGGTTATAATGGGGTTCTCTTAAGTCTTCAGGATTTCTTTTTAAGAGATGCCACATGGTCAGTCGATTCTCATTGAAGAGTAGCTAGTGGTAGTTGGGAAGGAGCACCGTTGCTTTGAACATGTGTGGCCTGGCGCTCAATTGTAGTATATAACCCACACAACCCTTGCAAACACATGAATGCTGAATGCACGAACACGTGCCCATTGAAAGGTTCTTCCTTCTAGCGGAACGACACCTGGCTTTCTTATACCGTCAGTGATCAAGGAAACACTCCGAACATCAACATAGACAGCTGCACACCTGTGGACAAGACAAACTTCCATTTCAACCATAAAGCAACATAACCAAAACCTGGTTATGCATATGTTTTGCTTATGATTTCTTTGTTTTCCCGAGTGAATCCCCCTGGCATATAGGAATATGTATAGCTTTTCCCTGGTTCCGAGCTTCAAATCGAACAGCTCACAACGTCCATCTCCGTGTCCATCTCTGTCGCTGCGCCGATCCACCGCATTCTCCGATTCGACCACTCGCATGGGGCCTCCTTCCGCTAGCGCCGATGAGGCGCCTCGTCGGAGCCGGTCGCCCGGGCGCACTGCCGGGCGCAAAAGAGGAAGACCCAAAGGAGACTCTGTTTTGAAGACCACGCGACACATGGAATTTGGATCACACATCACCCGGTTGACTGAGGTTGACTGTAAAGAAATCCTCCCCCGAGAATAGGAGGTGTAATATATTACAGAGCGTTTGCTCCGACTTCGTCCCAAGTTTGGACAGCTTGAAAACGTATGCAGTTTCCACACCAAAGTCTGAGCCCCCTCTCTGGTCCAATGTCATGAAAAAAGTGCGAGGGAACCCTCGTTCGCGCCGCGTGGCAGGTGTCACCGATCCTCCTTGCGTGCCACCAGCTTCCTCCTGCACAGAGGATCGACGACGACCAAGCCCCCGACGGGGCGACCAGGAGTTGGAGATCTGAGTTCGGGCTAGTTCGGGTGAGGTTCTTCCAGTGACTGCCTGGAAGCCCGAGTGATCCATGTCTCTGACCGGGTGCACTTGAACTCGTCAGACGTCGAAGCTGCTGGGGAAGAAGTGGGGCCTCGGCTCAGTAGAGCGCAGAGCTCAGAGCTCTGAGCTGGCGTTAGTGGAGATCTGACCAAGTGCCACCAAGACAAATAAGAAACGACCCAAAACAAGTCTGTAAATTCAGAAAAGAAGCAAACCAAAGAAGCCCAACAAACATCAAGAAACCATAATATGATAGAGAACAACATTAAACCGTGTAGGGTTTGATCTGTTTATTGTTTCTATATATTTTTTGTTTGCGTTTCTTGTTTGTTTCTGCAAAGGATTCTCGCCCTGGTATTGCCACGTGCCATGCTCTCTCTAGGGCTCTCTGGCAGTATGTGCTTGTCATTGATGATCTTTGGCAATCTTGATTTGCTGCTTCTTATGTTGATGACTTAATGTCACTTAATGTGCTTCTTTAATTTTGTTCTATTATTGCTAGGTTCTTCTTGATCCCATCTCTGGTTTCGCCCTGTGATGTCAATATATGGCTCCAACTCTCCAACTCAACTGTCGACATGAATTCTTCAACATCACGATCAATGCAACATTGAGAACATGAGAACATTGAAGAAGAAGAATTGACAGTTGTATGACGCCATCGCCAGGTCCTTTGTCCTTTGTTGATGTGAAATCAATGTTTCACCTAGATCAAGTCTCATGGGGTGCAGAAAGCTTTATTCTTACAAGCCTTATAAATAAGCTATTTATTTATTTATTTATGTTAGCCCCGAAGACCTACCTTTTTCCACTTTTCGGTTGAATTTAAAAGTGAATTCTGCACATTCTGAAGTAATATTCGTTGGTTGAACTTTTAGATGGATTGCGCGGGTATTGCGCGCACACACACACACACATGTTGAAACCCAAGTTGAATCAAACACTTTGGAACGTTTGTAAAGTTGTTGGGATTCAAGCTTCATGGGAAAAGTTGTTGAATCCAAGCCCTGACTGAAGCCCTCGAATCTTGGGGTTCTGGATGTCAGTCAGGGCTTGGATTCAATAACTTTTCCCCAAAATCTTGAGTCTTGAATCCCAAACACTTTGCAAAGTTTGCCTTGCAACCCCCCAAAAAGGTCTTGGGGGGTACTGTACAGTTTTTTGCAGTGTTTTCTGTCTCTGTTGTATCGACAAGTATTTGACCAACAGCACCCGCTCTCGTAGATCAAGGGTATGCTTGGATCCGGGTGGGAGAAGCAAAGACCAACGCTGCAAGAGAGCGGGCTGGAGCCATTTGGTGCAAGACAGCTATCAACACAGCTATCAACAGTGGGATCTCTTTCTTCCATGTGGCCATTGATGGTTTTGCTCGCTTACCCCACACATCTACGTCGGTCTCAAGTTCCATAGATGGCCTTTCTTGTCTTGACAGGGTTGATTTCTAGAGGCGATATCCCCCCCGGTCCTGAGCTACCTATCGGTCAATGCATCTCTCTATTCTTCCCAAAAAGGACAATCACAATCATGCTCCATGATTTCTCCGCTCCCGCTCATCTCCGCTCATGCTCGCCAGGATCCGTCGGTTTGCGACGCCCTCCGCTCATCGCTCTCTCTCGTGGCCGAGCGAGTGGCGCTCATCATGACCCTCATCCACACCACACGCACCGGCACCATGGTCACGAGGAGGATGGACATCGATCGGTCCGAGGCGAGGAAGGTCGACGGTCGACGCCGCGAAGGTCGACCGCGCTGAGACGGTCGGAAGGAGAGGGGAACGGCGCCCCTTGTTTCAGGCAGTCGGAGAATCCTGTTTGGAGGTGGTTCTGTTCGAGAAAAGCATGAAAACAGCCGTCGAAGTCGGCGTCGGAGTCGAGCGTCGCATCTGCGAAGGGGAAAACCAGTCCGGTAGATCTTCAAATCAGGTTTTCATGGACGAGGAAAGGCCTGTGAACGGAGCGATTGAATCGTTGATAGGATTGAACTATATATGTATATATACCTTGATAGACATGTCATAGGCTATAGCGTCTGATCTGTATCGGAGGCTCACTTGTGTTAACTGGTAGGAATCTACAAGTCTAATGGGATTGTGCAGGATTGTGGATGGATTGATAGCCTATACTACACTTTTGCCGAAGCTGGGCAAAGACCTTCCAACTGGTACTCGATGGTTTGCACCATGTTGCGACCAAACGACTGCTGATCACAGTATGTGTGCCAATTCATTGCTGGCATATAGGACATCTTGGGTCAGTTGATTGATCTCCCAGACACTCCATGGGACTGCCATATATGATTACATTGACCCCCCAAAACCACCCCTGGCCGTTTCTCGGCAGTCCTATTGGCAGTCCCATGGATCGTCGTGTCTGGGGATCTTAAGCGACAGGCCACGCTCGTAGATCCTCGCAGGCCACGCTCATAGTGAACATCATGGACCGCGACATGGACATTCTCACAGCCATGGACATGGGCATAGTCACAGTCATGGGGAAGGCGGAAAGCTGTGGTTTTTGGTGTTTCGCTTTTGTCCTTGAAAAGCCTTCAGCTTCACAGTTCACAGCGTTGGTCCTTTTGATTGGAAACTACCTTACCCCGGTGATTTGGCCGGCTGGCCTGGCATTCGCCAACGCGGAGACCGCATGGCCTCGATCGACCATGAACCTGCCATCCACGAAACCATGGATTCCAGGGAGTTGATTCTTAGCCCGGATCTGCTTGGCGAATCTGCTTCGAAGAGGCTTTAGCCAGTTCACAGGTGGCAGATGGTGTCATCCATCAATCACTCAATCGTGATGTCCCTCTTTGTCAAGTCGATTTATGGAATTGATAAATCCGTGACCTCGTTTTTAGAAGACCGATAACCCAAAATAGGGTCTTTTCTTGTCTGGGCTCTGGGTCACTGTATTGGTGACCCTAGATCCATGCGGCAGAGACCCACATGTAACCTGAAAACCATTGAAAACCACTGGGTTGTAGAGGAAAACGGTCTTCCATTTGGGTCCATGCCAAGCCCGGTTCCATGCTCGGATTCAGGGCACGACCCTCACGTCCATCTGCTTGGGGGCTGCCATGACCAAAGCCATGCGGTGGACCTCGCCGAGATGAAAGGGGCGCCGGGGCCGAAGTCCGCTCCGACGCCGTGCCGGCACCGGGTCGGAAGTTCCGTGTTCTTCAGGTCGGAGGCCGTCCTTATGTGTTTTCAGTGAGCCGCATGGAGCCAGATGGAGCCAGATGGAGCCGTTGGGGCCAAGAAACATGTGTTTTTTTTTTGGCTTCCCTGGTTGGTTTCTGAAGACGTGGGGGTTCTTTTTGTACCGGATGCTGTGGGGGTGCTGCGCTGTGACCGCCCGCACCCTCAACGGCGATGGTGTGGCATTGGACTTGTACGCTATGCTACTAAAAGCAAGGTGCATCGCTACTAGCAACAAGTGCATTACTACTGTATAGCAAATAGCTGCTAGAGTAGCTTCTTGCTACTTGTTACTAGTAGCAATGCACTATTGTTCCTATGTGTCAAGTCCTTACAGATTGAATAAGGAACCCGGGTGGACCGCTTTTGCGATGGAGCGGAGGAGGAGATTAGGGCGGGAGGTTAGGAGGTGCGGACCTTTCTGTCCGGTGACACAGGGGGAGGTCTTATCCTATCTACCAACTGGAGGTCCCGGATGTGGTCGAGGGTGCCGTCGGGGTGCCGGGTCACGTCACATCCACGGCCCCTGGATGGGACTTTTTTGATTTTACCACCCCCACTTAGTAACCCCTACCAGCACCTCCAACAGGTCACCAGAGACCTGTTAGGGCCTAACAACCCTCCAAAGGAGACCTGTTGGAAGGTGCTGGTATATACCCGCATGGTTATTATAAACATCCACCATTAAAGGTCTAAAAGACAGGCGATTTCCCTCGCCCGCACAAAGCTTCCCTCGCCCGCACACTGTAGCAAGATCAGGGGCTCCACCTTATCCTGGGACCAACGAAGGACCTTCAGACAGTCTGTTTTGGGACCCAGGCTGTTGGTCTAACCTGGTCTAATAGGTGCAGCTGGAGCGCTTTTTGGGGCAGACTTGCCATCGACACAGCGATCTGGAAAAAACAAAAATTGAGGGTTTTGCGGACCCTCCAGCATCATTGCTGTTCCCTTTCCCTTTCCACTCCCTGTCTGGGATTGGAGATGCCGCCGGAGAGAACCCCTTTGAACCCACGAGCTTCAACCGCCGCCCTCGACATATGCACCCACAGGGTGCGGTCGTGTTCTTCGTGTCGACAGGGTGCGGCAACCCGTCCAGTTCGGCTATTTGGGGCACCACCCAAGTGGCAAGTAAAGGAAGTTCCTGAAAATCGGATCATCCAAAGACCGTCTTTGACTTTCAGGGTATATCTTCCATTTGCTCCTTTTTTTTGGAGCGATGCAGACACAGGAAGCGATGAGGGTGACGCTGCTGGGCTTGGGCTGCAACCTCTTCTTGGGAGGTCTGCAGTGCCTCTGGCAGCATCTAAATATATATATATAGCTATACTGGTAGCAAGGACGCTATTAGGTGGAGGCCATCGCAAGTAGGTTGGAGGCCGTCGCTTCTAGTAACAAGAAGCTACTAGTAGATACGACTGGAGTCATACAACATGTCATCGCCGGAGAGCCTGCCGTGGAAAACTCACCTTTCTTCCACCCTGGGACGTTCGGGATGCCTAATTACTCAGGAGGTACGTGGATCACCTGCAGGTCACCCTTCTGGGAGAATTGGTTTCCGCACTCAAGAAGTGATGGACAGTTCGGCTTTCTAGAGATCTCCGGCAGTCAGACCCTGAGATGGTGTAGGGGAACTACGACCTGTCTGGGACTGCCATCTTTTTGCCCATCAGTTGGGGTGGTTGAAGAGGGGTCAATGTTAGCATATCACTTCGTCTGCACCACCTCACGTTCTGCGCACTTTGGGGCCACAGAGAATATCCTTGCTTCACCCTCAAAAACAGGGCGGCTAACCGATCCATGAAATGAATCCACTACTGTCAATCCAGCAAGTTAAGCTCGTCCATTCAACTCCCAACCACAAATGAATGAACCATCATGAACCCGCTTAGAGCCTTTTTTTCCCCCTCAAAGAATGTCATGTGACCATTATGTGACCGCATTTGTTGCTCACCGTCCGCGTGTGGCTGGGGGTTCTTCTTTCTTCAGGTTAATCTCCGGCAGCTACTGTCATTCTGCAGCATTGACCAGCGATGCGTGGCACACCCTGACGGACCCCGCTTCTTGAGCGAGCGAGCGAGCGAGAGAGCATGGCAAATCCCTAGGAATCCGTTTTCGTTCCGAACCTCAGTTTCGGTACGAAAACGGACCCGACTGGCTGGCACCATGACATGTCTCGGTGTCGAACACACTTTCTTAGGAGGTACTTGGGTTCCTATATATAATTACATGGGGAACGCATGGTCCAATCCGCATGACACGAGTGTGACACCTGTGTTTTTTTTCCCGAATGCGTAGCGAAGGGTTCTTGTTTAACTCTGGGGGTCTGGGGGTAGAGCCTTGTTCGCGACTCGTTGTCTCAGCGTTCGCAACCGTCCGCAACCGTCCGCCGCCGTTCGCAGGAGGACGCTAAGGCCGCTGCCATTGGGGGAAGGTTCTTGAGAGAGTGTGACATGGAAGCGTGACGTGTCAGTGACGAAAGGTAGCCTGGTAAGGACTACCGGCTCCGCACTCGTCCACCTGCGGTCAGCGGTGAAGGTTGATCTGTTGGAGCGCTGACTAGCTCGAGAGCCCGATCGCGACCAAAGATTGGTAGATCAATGTCTAACACCCCCTTTGCCATGTGATGACTCATTGATAAACAAATTGTTTTGGTCCCCCCCCATCGGCAGCACCACCAGCATTCTCGCTGGAGCCGTAGACATTGGATGCACCTGGCAAAGGTCCAAAAAGTCTGCGGCTTGATGAAGCTGTCGGATGTCAGTCAACGAGTCGAAGTGAGTCCATGCACTGCCTGCGTCAAAGTCCTGCATCAATCCAGCAACGCATGTCGTTTTTCGCTCTAGCACAGACCTCCGCACCCCCGAATTCCATGTTGTTTCGCGGCGGGGGTGTTTGACGCAGGATTGGGTGATATTTGTGCCCCGCAGCGCTTTCACTGCAAAGACCCCGCGCCACCGTAGACTGGGCACCGCTTCCCGCCAGGCGAGTTCTAGTGTACTTACTTTGCATCATGTCATATACAGCAACGGGTTGCACGCTAACACTTTCCTTGTCTGGTTTCTACGCTCTGTTGCGAGGCGACCTCATGAAGCGCCTGTGGCTCCACATGTCCTTTAGACGAAATCATCGCAGCAGAGGCCGGCAACCCCTTGCTGCCATGCTGCCTCCGATATCTCCCCGTACTGCGGTTCCGCCCCTTGACTTTGTCCCCTAATACTAGGTGAAGGGCTGTTTGCAAAGCAGTGTACGCACCGCACGGAAACGTGGCACAGTGGTTGCCCGCTTCTTCGACACAGCCCGCTACTTCGACATAGACCCCACGAATTTCTATAACTTTTCCGCAAGCACGTGTCAGGACTGAACGCTTGGTCTACAGCTCTCTGGCTCTGTCATTGGCGCAGGACATCGCGCAAAAACTGCCAGAGGCACGGACCCACCGCTGCCATGTGGCGTGGGGTCGCCCCGCACCGTGGGCCCTGTCCTCGGACACCAACTACCCACAGAGCTCTCACTCTCGCACATGTCCTGCGACCCGCCCCCTAGGCCTCGCCTCCAGAAGAATTTGAAGAGGTGCGCTCCATACGACACATTGACTGCCACATGCCCCGCAGCCTGTTTTTCGTACGGCCGTATTGTCCAGGTCGAGGTGGAAGAGGAACGACATCCATCCCCGCCGGGGCGGCGGGGTACCGGGGTGGTCGGTGATTGCATTTCGCACGCTGCGGAAAAGGTGCACGCACCTTGCCAGTGCTTCATGGCCGTGCACGCACTCAGGTTCACGCTGTCCTTCTTGTGCAACGCCCATGTGCCGTTGCAATGTCATCAGTTTTTGGTTTGATGCTTTAGTCTTTCGCCGCTATTTTGCTCTCCGTTGTCCAACGAAGAGTGTCCTATACAGGACTGTCCCACAAGTGTGTCCCACAAGAGTGTCCTACAAAAATGTCCCACAAGAGTGTTCCGCAAGAGTGTCCCACAAGAGTGTCCTACAAGAGTGTCCGACAAGAGTGTCCTACAAGAGCGCCCCACAAGAGTGTCCAAAAAAGGATTTGGCCAGTGTATGTTCAGCAGTCGCATGTCGCAAATGCTTATGTACACAGAAGTCGCTGTGAAAATTTTTGCGTAGAAAGATTGATTGCTGGGCCTCCCCTCTCGTAATGGATAAAGATCGGCATATGTAACCATTCAAACGTGTTTGCATTCGGGTTCGTGGGCTCCATCTTCTTTTTTCCCCCGGTCAATGCGTCCACCAGCGCAAGGATCATCCTGAGCATCAATTGGAAGAGAACTTCATGCAATAAATGAATAGAAATAACAAACGTGCAGTTTTCTCTATTTCTTTTACATTAAAAAAATCATACATTTTTTCTCATGTGTCCATGTCAAGGCTATTCTGCGTGTGCGGATCTGCATGAAACTTGCTCCACAATGAGTCCCGCATTTGCAGGACTCCTTCGCAGACCTCATCACCTTAGGCGTCTTGGTTCGATGTGACTCTCGATGGCGACCGGTCCAGAATCGCAACAGGTCCAGGCCTAGACTTCCCACATCGACCTGGAAGTGGGTAGGATCATTTGGATCTACGAAGTAGGTGAGTAATTTCCAGGACTCGAGGACCGACTCCATTCCCGACCCACAGCCCCTTCCCAAGAGGCGGTGGTTGAAAATAACGGAGCAAACCTGTTGGCTGGGCGCTAGGAATCAGATCTGAAAGAAGAAGAACATGGACTGGGACTGGTTGACCTCAGTTACATTGGATTCAGAGTCACACACCCTAAAATCTCCTGGAGGATGTCTAATTATACCAAAGAGGACGGGCTCTAGCTCTCAGCCACCGAACCTGGGGACGATGGCCCTCTCCTGAACAGGGGGCGGGGAACGAAGCTTCGTGCGGCAGCCCCACGCCGTGAACTCGGCGCTCGACTGGCTCCACCTCCCCAAATGGTCTAAAAGATTTGACCATGGATTCCAGATGTTGTTTGCCCACCCTTCGGCGTTCGGCTTCTTGCATGTTCTTCACACACCTGACCGCACCGTCGACCACAGCTGCGTCCGTTCGATCTCCGCAGTTTTTCCGCGCGCCCGAGGCGTGGTGCAGTTGACGCTGCGTCCGCCCGGGCCCAGCTTCCCCTTCGGGCGCGGGAAGATGGACTCGCTGGCGGCCTTAGGCGGGAGATGAGAGGGGCGGTAGATGGGCTGGTGAAGGGAAGAAAGAGATGGGTCTTGGGTATTGGAATACAGACCCTTCCAACAGAAATCCCTATAGAAGTCCAGTTTGACTAGATGTTGACCAACTGATTAAAGGAAATTCCTGAAAAACCGGGACACCGAACTCGTCAGACCATTCTTTGAGTCTTGGACCTCCCAACAGGTTTTTGGACCCTAGTAGCTTCTTGTTACTAGTAGTCAGAATGCTACTAGTAGTGATGAGCGATGCCCTTTGCTACTAGTAGTTTGTTGCTAGTAGTAAGGCCAGGAGCTACTGGTAGCGTCCTTGCTTAGCGATGCCCTTTGTTCCTATGTTGGAGGGTCCAGTGAGCAGCATCATGACTTCTTTAGCGCACGTGTTTTCGCGAACAGCAGAGGTGCAACTTGCTCGCTCTCGGGCGCGAAGTTCTTGAGATCAAAGATACGAACCGGATCGGTTCTCTTCTGGTGCGAGAGAACTGCTGTGTTACCCTCCTTGCAAAAAGGGTTCAGTATGGTTCAGTGCTTCTTTCATCGTTTAATCACAGAGACCTCAGAACACACCCGTGCACATCATGACAATTCCAAATGGCTCTTGTAATGAAGACGAGGCTTGCTCCTTTTGCAAGGGCCGATGTCAAGGACGATCTGGATGTCAAGGACATGTGGACCTGGCCGAGTTCTCTGTGTTTCCAAACAACACTGCGACCGAACTCATCTCATTACCATCAATGGCCAACCAATGGCCAATCATATTTGGTTTCTCTTTATTCACCCCTCCATCTGTAAATCAGATGATATCCTTATTCAGAGACCCAAACGCCCGTCCTTCACCCCAGGCGTCAGCGGTATCATGGCGACGACGGGCGTGTCCACGATGCGCTTCTCCGGCGAGACCTTGGCGGAGGCTTTGGCGCTGGGCATGGAGGAGCGAATCAGCAACTCAGCCGTTTTCGGACCTCAAGAGATGCCCTTCGTGAGCAGCCCTGGCCCGTTAGCGTCCTGTCCTCGCGAACGGTTCGGGTTCGCGATGCCCTGGCCCTTCTGCCGAACGTATGCTCCTTAAGTAGGCAGCGAACTGGTCCCAGTTCAGGTCTCAAAAAACCTCTCAACTGGGAGTGTTGGGGAGGGAGTCAACTGGGGTGTGGCATTATAGTAACTTACTTGTTCACAGCGCCAGGGGCTCAACTACTCGAAGGATTTGGATTTGATGGGTCTTTACTGGGCTGGTCTTTAACTCCGGTTTGCAAGAGAAAGAAACGTGGTATGCCTTCAGGTGCCCGATCAATCACTTCGGCGACTGTTGCAAAAGCGAGTGCAGGAAGCAACTGTCCAGATCTGAACTCTACAACTCTACGTTTGCCTCTCGATTTTGATTCCGTTCGCCACAGCCACACATGGGAACTGCAGTTCTCGGTCGTGGGGATGGCAGGAGATGGGCAACGACCATGGCGGACACAGCCATTCACATGGGCACCTGCATAGCCATGGTGCAGACAGTCTCTTCGAGGACGTCCTTAGTTCGGGCCGTCCCACGTCGCTTGATGCGCGCGTGCTTGGACTTGGGACGACCAAACCACCAGCATGTCAAGCATACTTCAGAAACATCTAACGCGTGACAGCTCTAGGGCGTCCATATAACGGACATGTCAGCGCACACATATCATTCTCACATGGACATGTCAGCGCACGCAAAAATGATCTTGTCTATACCTCCGGCCTATTTTTATTGCTTCAACTCACCCTGAGGTTGCTGACAATTAACCTGTGTGTGTTGCGTTCAAAAGCTTTCAATTCGAACGGGGTATCTTGTAAGATGACATCGAGTTTGCCATGATGCAGATTGAGGCCTTTAACCTACGTTGTCGGGTAGGAGAACAGAAAGAAGCAACCAGACATCCTGAGCCAACTGCCACAGGATGGGCGAGTGAACCAGATCGCGGTGGGCGCATGCTTGCTGACCATTGCCAGCCGTTTGGCCGACACTGACCTGGGACGGGACGGCCCTCGTTCGCTCCCCCCTCCACTGGCAGAAGTGGAGGCGGACATGTTCGAGGTAAAAACCGGCGCCTTCTTTCGGATCTCAGAGTTGCACACTTCAAGTTTGGCCAAGGCGCAAAAGACACCCAAGCAGAAACACAGAGTTTCACAAGCTCTCAGCCCTGAGTTCTCGTCAAATCACACTTCAATTCCCTACTGGCCCTAATTCTTTTGTCCTTCCAAACCAATTCCCTTAGGATTCGAACCATTTCATAGGCAGGGCATCCCCAACAACATGATTTTAGACCACAAAACCAGGTCTTTCCCAATTCTTTTGAACTGGTCGAACTGAGTCCGGCGAGGCTCGGGCCTCGAACAACTTTAAGACCACGAGACGGTACGTACCCTGCGTTCGCCACCCGACCATCATGGCGCCAGTGAATTTCGCCACCCGCACATCGATAGGTTGACACCGGAATTGTGGATGCTAAGGTCTGTGAGAAGAGAGTTTGGCACGAAAAAACGTTGCACCTTCCCCTACGTCCTCATCCCGCTCATCCTCCTCCTCGCTCTTGCCTAGGCAAGGAGGGCCTCTACCGTATCACTCGAAGAGCAGCAGAGCGGCTGAATTCCTCCGTCTTGTTGGCCAACGTGCCTCGGGTCAACGACCGGTCGAGGTCTTTGGGAACGACCGAGAGCCGGGGCGGAGCGGAGGCGCCGGGGAGGCAGGTGGGGAGTATGTGGGATGCACCGGTCTTGGCTTTGTTCCGACAAAGGTCGACTCAGACTCAGTGTAACTTTGAGACATTTTTACCTTTACAGGCCATGCGTCATGAGGATTTTGGAGGCTTTGTTCCAAGCTCACCTATTCCAAGCATCGATTAGAAGCTGGGAGCCCAGAGCCCTCCTTTGGGCCCCCCTCTCGGCGGGCCCAGCTTCTCCGGATCGGCGATGGAAGATGAGTTCGTCTCAAGTTGAGGGTCTGATCTTGCAAATCAGAGACCTCTGTGAGACCTTTCTTGAAAAGATGTTAAGCGACCAGTGGTTTTGCCCTTCGAGTCTATGACTCTTTCACGGCTCGAGAAGTAACTTTGGATGTGAGTCAAACTGACCAACTAAAGGACATTCCTCCTTAGAGGCCAAGACTGAAGGGGAAGAATGGTCTGACTTCCTTGGCTTCACTGAGGCAAAATCTCCTCTGTTTGGACTTCCAAAAGCTTTTTGGCCATGTTCTTCCATGTTCTTCCCAAACTGCTTTGCTTCTCCAGACACTCCATGTATGAAGTACAGAAAGACCCCCATATACACATGTCCTCGTGTATGGTCTCTGAGCCTCCAAGCGTCCAACAGGCTTGGCATCATCGTTCCGATGCCATGAGCTCCGGCATGGTCCTCATCGGCGTGCTGTGCCCCTTGGCACCGCGGATCGCGCCGTGCGATCGCCGGAACTCACTGACTTGGCGAAGAAACAGGAACACATCACACACCCGATTGGGCTCCAGTCGCAACTCCTCAGGTTCGGTGTGACTGGACCCGGTCCCATGGCACCCACCCCAGTCCCACCGAAACGAAACGAAGGTACGACTGGAGCTCAACCGGGACAGGAGTTTCATGGAGTGAGGTGCTATCGAGGAAGGTTAGGTCGGTGCTCGGTGCATCCCGGTGCCCTATAGAAGACGTCACCTCCACGGCCCCGGATGGGACGCGCCACACCACCGCGACATCAGGGAAGCAGGATGTTTATGTTCGATAAAGGCCTGCAACCATGCCCCATCATCCACTAGGGTCGACATGGACAGGCCCCAACATATACGAGCTCACCTTCTACACTCACATGGTGACGTGGAGAACGCCACTGAAATGTTGGACCATGAAATCCGAAGACCAAACAGAGGGTGAACTCACTCCACACCCCACCTGGCACATGAACAGGAGGAAAGTTCACGTTTGTGCCGAATTGACCATGAGTGTCAAGACAGAAACTGCCGCCAGACAAGAAAGATAGAACAGGAGCATCCTTTCTGGGTGTTGCTGGTTCTGGGTGTCGTGTAGTGCGCTTTGGAGATCCAAGTAGGACATCCGTCGACCGGATGCTGCTGCAGGTAGTAAGGCAACCTGGAGTCGAAATGGAACTCGTACCTCGGAAAATGGGAGAAGATGGTACAGTCGTACCTGCATTTTTGCGGTCCTCCTCCCATTCGTTTCAGGTCCTACCATTGGCTACCGGGTGCGTCAGGTCCAACGTACGGAATCATCCCGGATGTGACGATGTGGTTGATAGACTCGCCTGATTCGTTTTTTTTCCCATTCAAGAACCTTGGGAAATGGGTAGTGCTGGTAGATAGTCTTTCTAAGACTTCACAGACCAGCACCTCCAACAGGTCACCAATTGAAACCTGTTAGGGCCTAACAAACCTCCAAAGGAGACCTGTTGGAAGGTGCTGGGAGCTGGGAAGATAGTCTTTCTGAACCTAAAGATCCACGCCGAGCCGGGAGCTCGGCACCCCCACGCCACACTTAGGCGCGTGCGTTCGATTCGAGGTCGGGTCTTTGTGCATAGCGCCTTCGACCCAATGGCCGGCGCAGTGATGTCCTCCATCATCCTGAGGATCAGTTGGGGAATAGGCAGATCGTTGTCTAGAGTGTGCCGCCTTCGTCTGGTGGGGTCGGGGATGGGGTCCGGGGAGGTCTGCCGGTGCGGAAGGTCCAGGTAGATCTGGTAGTGGGAGGCAGCCACTGATTTTGTTCGACCAGGGCCACCAAATGTTGAAGAATCGAAGCGGTTGAAGTAGCAGGATTTACTGGGATGAGCGGTGGAATGTATTGGAATGTAGCATCCATTGGATGTGGTTTCTTGGTTCTAAACGACAAAGAATAGAGAAGCCAAGGGAACTCACGAAAACGCCGGAAACGCCTGGGTTTTGGAACTCGCTCAACCACTCAACCACTCCGATTCTCCGATGTCCGCTGAGAAGCTCTGTGCGGTCGTGCGCTGTCCGCTTTGGTTCGCTGAACGCTGCGGAGTCGTTCGTGAAAGCAGCACCAAGCAGTTGCCCGGAGAATGATCGGAAGGACATCGTCTGACTATGGCACCTGAGTTCGGGAACTTCCTTTACTTCACTGCCCTAAGGATCATTGGACCCTCCTATGGAGGGTTTTGACCCTGCAGAACGCAGGGGTTTGGACCCTCAAAACCTTCACCTTTGAGGGTCCTTGATCCTTAGGGTGGGGCTATATATATTCTTTCGACTTCTAGCCTACACTGTGTGCCGATGAGACTTGTTCTTTTCTGATGGGTGAACCTGCCGCGCAGGATTTGATTGCTGCAAGCAGGAATGTAGAACATCCAGCACTGGCCATACGATGTTTGACCTAAACTGGATGAACACCGGACGAAAAACTGCGCGTTCAAAGCCAACGCCATCGCCATCGCTGGGCAGCATCTCGGATTAAAGAAACTCACCTAGTGCAACCCACTCATCTACCCATCCACCTACCCATCCGGAAACCCTTTTTCTCTCATTTTGTTGCGATCGTCCCGAATCTTCCGACCCATCACATCCAGAAGTTGAACTCACAGCCCAGCACTGCCACTTCAACCTTTCCGCTAACCTGCTTACAACCTCCTTTCTGTTCGACATAAACCTGAACCTCCTATGAAGCCCATCCCATGTGTACCACAGACCAGGGTCCTATTTTCAGGTCTCAAACCTCTCAACCGCAACAGGGCGCCGGGCCATCGCCGAGCTGCTGGACATGCAGCTCCCACCCACGGAGCGACGGGAAGATAGGGTTTGGTTCGGGCCTGGACCCCTGCGTTTCGGTGGTCCGACCCCTGCCATGGAGAGTTTAAGGATTCTTAGGGCGGATCAAAACCAGCCGCAGTTAGCTTGACCTTCCAGGTGAAGGGCGCAGTACAGCACGGATGTGCAAGTCTTGGAAAGGTAGGTCAACCAAAGGTATCAAGTATAGGAAAAGATTCAAATGCCCTAGGGATCCAGTCGTACCTTCTCAGCAGGTGATGTGTTCGACACCGCGACATGTAGGTTTGGAGGGTCCAGTCGTACCGAACCTGAGAAGGTACGACTGGATCCCTAGGGATGGGAAGCAATGGTCGTTTCTCTTTCGGTCGCTTGTTTTCGGGAAGCCATCGACCGATAGGGACGGGGCCCATGCCATAGGACAGCCGATCTGTTAGGGGGTCAATGAATGTAGTACACCGGAGCATCCGTTTTTCGGGGGGTGGCTGGAGATCCCGGAGAATCGTGGGCTTTGGAGTCCAGGACACGAGTCCAACACGATGCTACCCGACTATGACCCACTATGTATTTCAAGGGGCCCCGTACATTTCTTCAGTGTTTTCCAGGATTCCAGTCTTCTTTCAACGTCTGAAGGTCCAAAGGTTGACGTATAGATTTGGTCATTCCCGGCTTGCCTCATGCAGAGCAAACAATTACAAAAGGCCCGATATGATTTCATATGATTTCATGTAGTCCTTCATAGCCACTTTCCGGAGGTACTTCACAGAGCGTCCAGGTTGGAGATTCGGCAAGATTGCAGATCCCAGACTCACCCCAACTGATCGGTATATATGTCCTTTATGATGCTAATGGTGCATTTCATTGTTCCCATGGACTGCAGTCTGTGACACCTCCTCGGGAGAACTGCAATGGCGTGGCATGATATGCTTCAGATCTTGATCTTGTGGTAATCATCCTAAATGATGACAATGATGATTTTTGCTATTGGTTTGCATTGTTAACAACGAAACCTGAGCATAGGCTGCCTCGACATCAACATTTACGGAGTGTTGCGGCCACATGTCCCGCGCAGGACCTGACGCTTTTCAAGGATTCCCTGAAAGATGCTCTGCAGAAGGCCACGGTTTTGACAATGCCTGACGATGTTTCAGCAGTCCATCCATGCATACAAAAAGATGTAAACCAACCAGAAATTGATATACATTTCCAGTTGCTGAGTGGTTCATCACGAAGTTCACTCACTGAATCTTAGTGATCCGTTTTAATCCAGCCATGGGCAGCCATGATGAACTCTTCATCCCCCAACTCGGCATGCTCCGACCTGGCCCTCGAGTCGGCTCGGCAAGGTGAGGTCCGTCCGAGCCCCCCGTGGTGCCGTTGTCCCACCCGAAAGCAGTGACAGCAACGTCCACCACCTGGCCACCTGGGTCTTGAAAATGGTCCTAGCTTGTCGAGAAGAGGCTGTGGCATTTGTACCGACGGCGGTGCTTAGTCCCCTAAGACCTGTTTCGGGGGCTTTCATGTCGAATCCAATGTCCGTCCCTTGCCCAAGGTCGGTCACATGAAAATACCGGGGCCCGATTCATGTTCCTGAGAAAACGTCGCCTCGGAAATGGGACATGAATGGGCATGACCCAAACCCCAGCTTAAAAGCACGACTGGGCCCCAGTCTCGGCTCCAAGGGCCCAGTCACGTCACCCCGCCCCAAGACTCCAAGACACTCCATGTATGGCATATTATACATGCAATTATATATACATTGGTTTCAGGAGTCAATGTAGGCATGCGCGTATGATTAATATACATTAATTGAAGATGCTGTCTTTGACTAAGGCTGTTGATCCGGACTGAAAGGCACCCAACTGTTCTGACGCCATTTCAGGCGCCTCAAGCCTAGGTTACGACATCCGCTCAGGTGGAAAAGCGCTGGCCGACGGCTCGTGCGAGCTGTTGTCTTTCAGTGGCACCGGAGCCCGTGGTTGCTTTCGGCGGGACCTGCTCTGCGCCTCCGCTGCTTGCTTTTGGTTGGACCTTTTTGCACGTGGTTCACGAGATCCTTGTTTTTGAGTTCGGTGCTGACTGCAGAGCACAGGACAGCGTTCGAAGACAGGGTGAGTGAGTTCTTCCTGGTTTCTTTTGGCCTCGAGGCCGTTGAAGGGGCACGCGTTCCTTTGAGGGCTTTGAGAGAAGGACTTCGGGAAGAGAATTCAACCTTTTTGCCCCCCTTTCACCTTTTTGGTCGTCTTCTGAAGGAAGACGACGCTTGAACTTTGACAGGCACCATGTCGGATGAGAAAGACGCCAATGGAGGTGCTTGGAGTCGTGTGCCCACATGGGACGGAAGTCCTCAAACATGGAGGACGTTTCGTCGAGAGATGTCATGGTGGTTGGCTGGGCTCGACATCCAGTCGACCAAGAAATACAATTTGGCCGCCAGATGGTTGCTTCGCCAAAGCGGCATGGTGAAGCAGAGAGGAGAAGAATTTGATCCAAGCGAATTGGAGTACCAGAAAGAGGTCAAGTTGCCGGATCCCACTACCGGCGACGATGTGGTGGTGACACCTGAGGACCCGCTCAGTGGCATCAACAAGCTTTTGGCTGCGCTCGAATCGATGACCGGGAGGACATCCCTAGACAAGAGAGGTGAATTGAGGAATGTCTTTTACCTGGAGCTCAAGCGACGATCCGGCGAACGGATCTCTGAGTTCGCCACTCGGTTCAGGTCCTTGGTTTCTGAACTTCGAGCTGAAGGTGTGGTCATAGCAGATGGCGAGTTGGGTTGGTGGTTCAAGCATAAGTTGGGTTTGGATGCCATCCGCACCCAGCTCCTGGAGACGGCACTTGGTGGAGCTGAAGATTACCCAACAATAGAACGTGAAGTTCTGAGGCTTTTCAAGGACTTGCATGTTGCTGACCCGCTTCACCGCAGGTCAGATGGAGAACGAGCTCCTTTGCTTCAGAAGTTTCTCAACCAGCAAGGTCCTTCCTCGAGTCGCCCTTCGTCATACGCCCCCTCTATGGCCAGTTCTGCACCCAGGTCCTTCAGGTCAGGTTCGTCGACCACCTCTTCGAGTCGGTTTACCTCGTACCGTCGTCCTGCTCCGGCCAAACAGGCCATGGTGTCGGAGGTGGATGATGAGAATGAAGAGCCCCCTCATGAACAAGAAGAGGATGAACCTGAAGGTCAGTCCTTGGAGGAAGTCCTCCAAACAGAGGCTGAGGTGCTTGCGGCAGAGTTGGAGGAGGCCGCAGCCAGCGGTCTTGACCAAGAGACCCTTCAAGAAGTTGAAGATAGTGTTGAAGCAGCTGCTGAGGCCTTTTTGACCATGAAAGAGGCCAGGTCCAAGTTGCAAGAAGTTCGACGTGATCGTGGATATGGCAAGCCATCGCCTTCCAGCACTTCCAATGCCGGCAAGGTGAACTTGAAAAAGCAATCGGACAAACACCCGTGTTTCGATTGCGGGCTTCCTGGACACTGGGCTGGAGATTCTGAATGTCAAAAGCCAGGTCAGCAGCTTGGGAGGAAGAAGTCAAAGTCTCCCCAGAAGCAAGTCAAGGTGACCGAAGCGCTGAACACTGAACATGGTGCTCCAGCTTCGGATGATGGTCATGAAGTCTTGATGACTTTTCGAGACACGAAGCCTCTTGCAGAAGGTTTCGAGATGGCCTTGGACATGTCTCACAAGCCCAAAGAGGTCAACGCCTTCAGCGTGCTCTCGACCGACAAAAGGCTGGTTGGTGCTTTGGACAGTGCTTGCAATAGAACATGTACCGGGCCGGAATGGTTGTCAAGCTTTTTGAAACGACTTCGTGCAACTGCCCCCAAAGAAGTGATCGACCTCGTGAAGGTTGAAGATGAGAAAGAGACATTTCGTTTTGGCAACGGAGGAACCCAGATCAGCACCCAGCGCTGGCGGCTTCCGACGGTGATTGGAGGGGTCACTTTGTGTTTTTGGACATCGGTGGTTCAGGTTCCTTCACTTGGACTCCTCTTGGGCCGGGACTTTTTGGAAGCGGTTGGGGCTGTGATGAGTTTTTCACGAAAGGTTCTGCACTGTGAGTTGCTCGATGGCAAGCCCATTCATCTGAACCAGCTGGCTGCAGGCCATTACTGCCTTGGACTCCTTCCCGGTCAATGGGCAGGTCTGGAACCTCAGAGATGGAGAAGGTTGGGTTTGGATGGAGTCATTGAACTTCAGTTGAGCACTCCGCAGTGGTTGCAGAAACGGCTGAAACGTGGTTCAACTTCGTTTTTGAAGGCAGAGCATGATGGTCACGATCATTTTTTGACTGAGAACAGCATGAGAGTGGGTCATCTTGTTTGCTCTGTTTTGTCAAGCTCCCCTTCTTTGCCTCCTTCGGTTCAAGCGCCTATGTCTCGTTCCTCGGAACGAGTTGAGACACGGACAACATCTCCTACACGAAGGTCGAGCACTACGACGAAGGAGCATGCCAGTGAGCGAAGCCTTCAGCCAAATCGATCTGAGATGGCGGCGGATGATTCTCCGCATGCGAGAAAGGTTTCAATGGTCAGCCAAAGGCGTCCTGCTCTGGCTATTGCCAAGATCCTCTTTGCGCTATCTGCCTTTGCCATACCCAGCTACCTCAACGCTGGACAAGTGGGAAGCTCAGTGCCGTGTGCAAGTGATGGAAGGAATTGTATCAAAGCGGCATACGGCCAAAGCTCAAAACAGCTTCACCTACGAGAACCTTGGCGACTGCATTCACCTGAGGAACCGGATGGGATTAGACACAGCCTTTTGCGAGGATCCGGTGTTGCAGGGCTTCAAGTTGGCCAAATCGGCCAAAGGTCTCTCTCAAAGGGTGAAGTCGGCCGCCCTGGCCGAGGCAAAGCAGAAAGCTCAGGAGGCAGAACATCGGGGAGAACAAGACGAACTTGCTCGAGCCTTGATTGGGCCTCGCGGCGGACTCCCTACCTTGAGAAAGGATCTGATCAGGTTGGCTGCACTGCTGAACGTCGAGATCCAGCCCACCGACAATGTCGAACAGATCAAGGAGAAGGTGAAACCCATGGTGGCCTTACTCAAGGAGACGAAGACTGCGGCAAAGGCCAAACCTCAAGGCAAGACAGAGAAAAGGGCTCTCGTTCCGCAAGGAGCGACAAGCAGCGGGTCGTCCTCCAGACCTCCTCCGGCGACAGTTCCATGGTCGCAGGTGCAAGAGATGCAGGGCAAGTTCCAGTCCGCACTGGACAATATGGCTTTGGAGCTTCAAGAACTTCGCGCCGGTCGCATTCCTCAACGGCCGGTCGACTTGACAAGCCTGATGACAGAGCCCAGTTTGATGACCGACGAGGACATGATGCACATGAGGAACCCCATGGGATACGGCCCAAGTCAGGGCCGAGATGTGAGCATGGAGGAGGCTTACCGCACCGATCCAGAGTTTCGCCAAGAGGTGAACATGAGCTTGGAACAAGATTGGGAGGCCAAACTGGCCGCACACTACGGGGAGGATTACTACCTCTTGACTCAGGAAGAGATGGAAGCGGCTCTGGATCCCTGAACCGCTACGTGATCCACCAACAGCTCAAAAGGGGCCAAGCTCAGCTGATTGCTCAGGCTTGGAATCAACATGAACAAGATCGCCGTCGTGTGTCCCAAGCTCCCAAGAAGATCAAAGAGTTGCTTGAGACTGAGTACTATGAGGAGATGAAGAACTTTCTTGACGACGAGATCTTTGTCCAACCGATTGACTTGAACTTCAAGGTCAATGAGACCCTAATGAACGACAAAGTGTCTTCGAATGACCAGCCCCTTGTGACCGAGATTTACACGAGTGCGAGAAACGTGATGCAGGAAGCAAAACGTCGTGGTCACAAAGTTGGGACATCTATGAGCTTGGACAATGGTTGGAATTTCCTGCTTCGTCGTCATCGAGAAGCTGCAATTGAAAAAGTGAAGACGGAGAAACCCTTTTGTGTGGTACTGGCGTTTCCGTGTGGGCCCTTCAGTCCACTCCAGTTCCTGAACAAGAAGGGACACCGCTCCTGGCCTGCTCGTCTTCATGCAGGCCGCATTCTGATGAAATTTGCCTTGGAGATCGCCCGCATTCAGATGAGCGAAGGACGACACTGCATCCTCGAGAACCCTAAGCCATCCTTGGCTTGGAGTGAACCTGAAATGAAGAGGTTTTTGGAGGAGGAAAATGTTTTTCAAGCTGTCTTTGATCAGTGCCGTTTTGGCCTTCGGAGTGCCTCAGGAGAGCTGCATTAGAAGCCGACCCAGGTGGTGAGTTCTTCTTCGTGCGTTACAAGTATGCTGGATGGGGTGTGTTGCATGCGTGACCATTCCCACATGCCGGTTCTTGGAGGTTCGAGAATTACAGCTCCTGCTGGACTGTATCCTCGGGCCTTGGCTCGCACTTTGGTTCGCGGACTGGAAGCCCAGTTCGAGAAGGACTTCAAGCCCTGTGAAGTTTTGGTTGCAGGTGTCCATGAGGACGATGGAGACCAAGTGGTCGCTGTTCGAGGAGAGATTGAGGACAATGAGGCCTCTGATGAGGAGTTCGCAGTGTCCCCAGATGAGAAAAAGCTGGTGATCCCTGGCAGTGTGAAGGCGACGATTCGCCCTCTTCATGAAAACACAGGTCATAGAAGCAACACTCGCCTTGCTCGGGCTCTGACTTTGGCTGGCGCACCTTTGGAGGCGATCGTGGCAGCCAAGAGACATCAATGTGCAGTCTGTCAAGAGAGAAAACCCCCTAAAGTGAGACGACCAGCTTCTCTACCGACGCCAAAAGATCTCGGTGACCAAGTTCATTTGGATCTGTTAGAGATTGAAGATGCCCGAGAGAAGAAGTACTTTGTGGCCCATTGCACCGACTATGCCACGAGGTTCCAAGCAGCAGAGATTTTGGCAGACAAGTCAACTAAGGAAGTGATTCGCTTCATGGCAACTCGATGGCTTCCTACTTTTGGTGCCCCTCGTGTTTTGGTCTGCGATCAAGGCCGTGAATTCATTTCATGGGAAATGGAGGAATGGACCTCATCCATTTCGACCTTGCTGCACCACATAGCCGTACAAGCCCCATGGCAAAACGGTGTCGCAGAGAAGTCAGGAGGAATCCTGAAAACCTTGATGTCAGCCATTGTGCGTTCGAAGTCAGTGGTGACCAAAGAGGAGATGGACCTCGCTCTGGCTGAAGCCGTTGCGGCTTACAATGGTGATGTTGATGGTGAGTCAGGGACTTCACCATATCAGGCTGCGCTCGGACGACAACCCCGGATGATTGGTGACGTTCTTGGTGGAGTTCAACAGCGTTTGGCAGAACATGGACTCATCGAGTCCAAACCTAGTTTGGCCCGCCAGCTGGCAATGAGGGAGGTGGCCAAAGTGGCTATGACTCGACTCCACTTCTCACGTGGAATGAGAAAGGCGGAATTGGCACGATCTCGAGATGCCACCTTTGAGTCTTTGCCTGAACCTGGAAGCATTTGCTACTTCTACAGGCCCTTGCGGTTCAACACCAAGACCTCGGTGAGTCGCAAGCGTTTGACACTGAAGAGATGGCATGGACCTGCTTTGTTAGTGGCTTTGGAGGGCAATTCCAGCGCCTTCTTGTCCTACAAGGGCCAACTCACAAAATGCGCGCTTGAACATGTGCGCAAGGCCAGCTCCATGGAACAGATCGCAGCCGGGACTTGGCGTGAAGCCATTGAAGAAGCAGTCGAGGCAGCACGTCTCGATGTTCCACTTCCTGGTGCCGGAGAAGTTCATTTGTTGCCGGAAGAGGATGGTGTGACAGAAGCTGATGATGAGTTGCGGAATCCTGCAACCCCTGCTTTCCTTCCTTCGTCGTCGGCTGGCATCCCCATAGAGGAGGGTGCTCCTTTGCGTGGTGAAGACCTGCCGCCTGTGGGTGCTCGTGAATTTCTTCCGATGATTGTTCCAGCGACTCCTCAGATCCCTTCACAAGTTGGGTCAACAGTGCCTTCGAGACGAACCAGTGATTTTGCCCAGGCCTCACCTTTTCCTGAAGCGGACCAACGCATGAGAGAAAGGAAGACGAGTGCACCTTTGCTGGGCGCTTCAATTGAAAGAGCTCAAAGGCTTGACCAAAGCCGTGAAGAGAGTGGTGGACAGAAACGACCTGCCGAACAAGATCCAGACTCCCTGAGAAAAGAAGGTGAAGAGGTTGACCGTGGGCCTGATAGTGAACAGTTGCAAGTGAGCCGAGTCAACCCTGCTGACCATGAAGTACATGTTCTTTCCAAGGAACAGATCTTGGAGCGTTTAGCTGAACCAAATGTGCATCCTTTGAGGCAAGCTCAACTTGGAGCCTGTTTGGATCGCATGGATCCCTTGGAGAGTGAAGTGAAAGACCATGGCAGCTGGGGTGGAAGATGGGATCTACCATCTCGTTCTGAATGGCAAGTTCATCAACGGCTAGGAGTTCCTTGGCCTACTGGTGCACCTTCGACCCAGGAGGTAAATGCTGTTCAAGCCGCGCGCAAAGAGTTCCACTGGCGTTCCATGACCAGTGATGAGAAGATCGCCTTTGCAGAAGCCGCCAAGCAGGCTTGGGCAGTCTGGGAGGAGAACGATGCCATTGAGATCCTGACGCCTGAAGAGTCTGATGAAGTGAGAAAGAGGCTCAAAGCTTGCAAAGAAGACAGCCGCATACTCACTCCGCGGTATGTTTTCACTGATCGCCATGAAAGCTTGCGAACAGCTCAAAACCCTTTGCCGCTCAAAGCCCGTGCCAGAGTGATTGTGCCCGGATACAAGGACGTGTTTTCCTTCGCGTTGCGCAAAGATGCGCCTACTGGTTCCAGAATTTCCCAACACCTGCTCTTCATCTACACAGCGCACAACTCCAAAAGACATCCTGAGCCAAAGGATTGCTGGAGATTGATGAGTGCTGATGTGAAGTCTGCCTTCCTGAAGGGCGACGCCTACATGGAGGGGACCAGGGAGTTGTTTTTGGAAAACGTGAAGGGCGATGATCCGAAGCTTCCATTTGGCAATCAGTTGGCAAAGATTCGCAAGGGCGTGTTTGGTCTTGCCGATGCGCCAAGACAATGGTACCTCAAGCTCAACCAGTCGTTTTTGGAGGCCGGTTGGGAAAGAAGTGTCATAGACTATGCTTGCTGGATGCTGTGGTCAGAAGATCGAAAGCAGCTGGAAGGGATGGTCATATCCCATGTTGATGATCTTTTGCTTGGTGGCAACTCCAAAGCTCAAGAGAGCCTGATGACAATTGGGGCCAAGCTTGGATTCGGGACAGTGGAGTTCGACGACTTCGTCTTCTGTGGAAAACGAATCCGAATGTTGCCCTCTGGAGAGATTGAGTTGTCCATGGTAGAGTACCACAGCAATTTGAAGCCGGTGGCAGTGACGACTTCTCGCAGGGCAATGCCACAAGCAGAATTGAGCGACAGTGAACGTCGCCAACTCAGAGCCATTTTAGGTTCCTTGCAATGGTTGGTAGCCCAGCTGAGATTCGACCAAGCCTATGCCCTCAGCACCCTCCAAGGTGAGAAGCCATGTGTGGCAACGTTGACAAAAGCAAACCTCCTTGTGAAAGAGTTCAAGCGGCGGAGCGACTTCAAACTGGTTTTCCGTGACCTTCCTTTGGAAAAGGCAGGGATCCTTGTGATTTCGGACGCCTCCTTGGGAAATACCACAAAGTCCGGTGGTGTTGAAGGCCAAGAGAAGTTGTACAGTCAGAGCTCCTACTTCATTTTGGTTTGTGATGAAAACCTTCTTCAAGGACGAGAAGGGTGGTTCAACGTTTTGGACGCACGAAGTCATCGACTCCCCAGAGTCTGTCGGTCGACGTACAGCTCTGAAACCCTTGGTTTGGAGGAAGCAATGGACGCTGGTGTTTTCTGTCGTGGATGTTTCAGCGTGCTGGCTGGTCTTCCGATGGAGCGTAGAGACGCCCATAAAGTCATGGAGGTGATCCCGATGACGGCAATTACGGATGCCAAGGACACTTTCGACGGAAACAGTGACACCAACACGTATGGAGCGCAGAAGTCACTAGCCTTCTCCGTGGCCTGGATCAGGGCTACCCTTGGAGGTGCCAACACTTCCTTAAAGTGGACGGCAACAGCGAACATGTGGGTTGATGCAGGGACAAAAGACATGCCACTTGACCATCTACACCGAATCCTAGATTGTGGACGTTGGTCCTATGTGTACAATGCCAACTATGTGAAACAGCCCAAGAAGAAGAAGACCACTGTAGTTGCAGTGAATGGGATGTTGCCCGGTGTTCCCCTGGCAGGCAAAACGCCAATTTTCCCTTTTCTGCTGAACGTCAGCAGAAGTCCAGGATGGCATCAACGATCAGGGTTGGTAGTGCATGTTGCAAGCAACGCGAAGTCCTTTCGTGTTCCAGATGCTAGGTTTAGTGTGTGGCGTTTTCCCCTCCGAAGTACATATGGAAGATTTGACCTTGGTGATGGTCGATCGGAGTGGAGAGAACTAGAGTCTCGACAAGACCTGACAGTTCTCGGAAAGAAGCAAGAGCTTCTTGGTCAAGAGGCTGGCTGTCTCGTGAGTGTTTTTGAGTCTCGGATCAAGAAAGAAGGAGAATGCACTGAAGATGCTGTCTTTGACTAAGGCTGTTGATCCGGACTGAAAGGCACCCAACTGTTCTGACGCCATTTCAGGCGCCTCAAGCCTAGGTTACGACATCCGCTCAGGTGGAAAAGCGCTGGCCGACGGCTCGTGCGAGCTGTTGTCTTTCATTAATATACAATATCATCGAAAGCATGGTCTTAACAAAAAAGAAATATATATATATATATTTATAATATAGACGAACAGAATCTATACCCTAGGGTAGCCCAGTTTGGTGTTGTTGATTGCACAAAGGCCATACCCGAGGGTTTCGATTGAAACCCTACAAATTCAACAGGTTTGGGCACGTTTTTTGGGTATTTCCATCCACGGGTCGTGTCTGGGCCAAACCCTCTTCTCGCTCCGGCCTCCGTTTCTCCGACGAGGCCGCTCCGCGGCTGCAGCTGGCGAGCTTACATGGCCGCCGAGCGGGGCCGGAGGCGGGGAGACGACGAGAGCGGTTGGGGCGAGAGATCTTCCCCAATTCGGGTGCCCAGGTACCGAACTTCGGATGGTCAACCAGGTGTTTTTTGTTTGGTTCTTTGGAGCCAGTTCGGGTCCGTCACCTCCTGAGATCGGAGGGTCGAGTCGAACGGAGGGTCGAGTCGTACAGTTTTTACTTCCTTCCAATGGTCGTTGCCTCAAAGCCGGACATCCGAGCTGCTCGGATGGTGCTGGACCCTTAGGGTTCTATTCACATTAAGATGTTGTCCCCATTGTAGATTCATGCGACTGGTGGTAGATCCACTTGACCCTTTTGAAATTGATTCTGAGGCATTCGTACTTACTTGGATGGACGATGTTTCATCTGGTTTTGTGCTGGGGCCCCAGTGCTGGGCACCCCAAATCGTAAAAAACAATTAGGTGCTTAGTGCTTAGTGCTTAATAAGAAACTTGCTAAGTGCTTAATAAGCAGTTAGCCCTTCCAACATAAAATTGCTAAAATATGCATAATAAGCGTCTGCTCACTCAGGTGTTTTTTCACATCAAAGCCCTTATTAGAGGTAGATTAGGGTTGCCAAAAATCAAAGTTGTTGTTGTCCTTTAATAGGCACATTGTTGAGCCCTAATGGATACCTACTATATTAGTTAGTCAGCTACTAATCCTAGGTGCAGATTAAGGGTTTCCATTTTGGGGTACCCAGCACTGCGGGCCCCAGCGCAAAACCACATGAATTTTTAGTAGGGCTCTCCGGAAAAGGTTCGGCGTTTTTGGCTTCTGTCTATGATACAAGCTGTTGATGGGCAAATAGTTGTATAAAGGATGGTAACGGTCAACGAGCTGAAATCTAAATGAGTATCTCCAAACCGATTGAGTCCATACTCCACCCATGTGGCCTGACCGCCAAATGTGTGGTGTGGAGCCGAGCAGCGTCCCGAGCTTCCCGAGCATCCCAAGCTCTCCAGGTGCATCTGGTGGCTGCCTTGACTCCGGCATCTCAAGGTGCCACGTGTTTCCGACGATTTCGGTGCGCAAGAACCATTCAGGGCGCGGTCTGGAGTTCCACTTCGGCGCTCCCGGCGTTCCCCGGAAATGAAGCTGGGTCCTGAAAACCTGGATGTTTTTGGACAAAAAAGGTCATTCCCTGACCGGTCCGGTAGGGAATGGAAAAACACAACGTGAAAACATTGCAGTGTGCTTTTTTCTTCGGAGTGGACACCCAGAAACTTGCCTTGCCAGTATCAGCTATCATCAAAGCGATCGCACCAGAAACTCTGATCTTCCAGATATCCACCGAATCTTGATTATTGTTTGATTCATTGATTCTTCAATGCTCGATCTTTCATGTCCAACGGTTGGGTCTTGGGCTGGTCTTGCGCAAGACCGTGGCCTTGCAGGGGCCGTTTCGGCCTTGACGGCAGCGGAGCTCATGCAATTAGAGACTTGGGATGGTATACGCGGAAATGGAAGGGGCCGATGGAGACACGAGTGGACATGGTTTTTATCAGATCTTTTAATCCTAACTGGCGTCCGGTTCTAGTTTTTTTCAGCGTGGTTTGGCACTCCTTCAGGGTGCAGCCGTGCAGCCGTCAATGGAAAGGGTGTACCAGGCAGCACGGCATCTTCAGGGAAGCGGCAACAAACACCTGCCCTGCCGCATCGACAGAGCAAATTCCTTCGGTGTCCCTTACCACCCGTGTGGTGCCCGTTGTTTTGGGGATTCGGCGTCCAACGATCGATGCCAGAAAACGGGTGCCACGCAGCGGTGAGCCACCGAACACGGAACGGCCACGAAGCGCCAGAGGTTTGGAAGAATGGTTGGAGTCCAAGAATGGTTGGTCCCTTTTTTTCCTCAGACAAGGAGGTACCCGAACTTATCCTTCGTTTATATTCGTTTTATGGTCACTCTTTGGGTTAAGCCAATAAATCACAGGCTCACAAGCTGTCATGGTTCCCGATTGTAGCAGGAAGTCCTTTCTCTATCTTGCTCTTTGGGTTGCGCTCTTTTTCTAAGCCCTCAAAAAGGGATGATCTTTTGCTGAAAGAAAGCTATATATATTAATCTGTCCATATCTGTCCAAAGATAGGTGTCCACAAAAACAACAGCTGTTGACTTCGGACGTTTAAACAGAAAGACGCCACAGTTCATGTTCACCGGTGGCTTTCAGGTTTTATTGGTCTCTTCGGCGCGAAACCTCGACGGCGCTCGGCAGCTGTGTGGCTCCCAACAGCAATTTCTGCACGGAAAGCTTGACCTGAAAGCTTTGAGCACCTCCGAAACGCCATGGCCGACTACAGCGCCGTGGACGCCGCGGCCGTCGCAGGGACCTCCCGGGAAGCGATGCTGGTGAAGGAGGTCGAAGAGGGTGCCCTGCACGGCACGTCGACGTGAAAGATGGTCGAACCAGGGGAGTCAGACTGAGCCACGGGTGGTGCACATGTGAGTGAAACCTCAATGGAGTGCAGCCCATTGGAACTGTGGAGTGCACGCTGTGCGCGCTGCATCGATTTACTGTAAGTCTGGAATAAACTACCCTACTTTTTAATCTCCATTGAGCACCCTTGTGAAGGTATTATGATTCATTCATTGTGTTTTTGGCATTTTTTGGTCATACCATTCTTTTTGGCTGGAACGGCTTGCAATTGTCACATTTATCATACATTCATCAAGTATCAAGCCTCTCCAAATAGAACACATACAACTGTCAGAGGTGAGGCTGACAGTTCTCTTGGCGTTCTTACACAAATTTATCATGCATTTGACGAGCTCAATTGCTGCTTCATATGCACTCGAACGGCCTAAAAGGTTTGGAACGGTCAGAAACTCGAACTCACTGCCCTACCGAACAGTGGATAGCCGAGAACACAAAGTTCTTTTGAGGCATCGGGGACACCCCACTAAAGAAGAACAGGTGATTACCTAGAGTCTGGAAGTACCTGGAAAAATGAGTACAAGTACCTGCTTTTGTGGGGTCATGTCCCATTTTCATACATTTTTGTTTGTTTTATTTTTATTTTTTCACTCATTGCATCGATCGACGCTTGTGGGGCATCGCGATTTCGTCGCGGCCTTTCGGCGAGCCCTGCTCCATGTTCTAAGGTACTTTGGAGGGTTCAGGTATATATAGTCAGTTTGGTTGTGTGTTGTCCAAGGCATGTGGAACCAAAAACGATGTGCGTCGAGTCTGTGTTGGGGGCCGTGGATCTGAGGGAGACACCGAGGCTCGGTCGTGCTCGGTCGTGCTTGGTCGCGGTGGGGTTCACCGACTGAGGTGAAGTGAGTTCTGAGGAGCTGGTCGTGCAGGACAACTTAGCGCCTTGGCCCGAAGACCCCGATGCGATCACAGCGCACAGCAGGGGGGCCGTAGAACGGTCCCTTTTTCGGTACCAACCCAGCAAATGGCCTCCACCCTACTAGCGATGGCCTCCAACCTAGTAGCGATTTCCTTAGAGTCTCAGATTGTACCCCGTAAGAATCATTCGTAGAACAGCTGGTTGTTTGGTAAACACCAAAAATTCAATGCACTATATGGATCCACTGGCACCTTCTCAGAAAGTACGACTGGACCCTCGTGGTCATCCCATCAGCTTCTGAGGAGCGGCCACGGGGTTTGAAGGTGGCGGCCATCACTGCCACCGTTCTGATTCTGGGCGCAGCGGTGCCGCGGCGGCAGGGTCCGAGTGAGGCATTTGCAGCATGGTTCATGTTCATTTGGGCCGCTACTAGGGGCTCCTGGCCGTACTACTAGGAGCAAGTAGCTACTATAGCAACATAGAAGCTACTAGGTTGGAGGCCATCGCTACGAACGTAGCAAGAAGCTATTGACTTGCAGGTTCATTCATCTCAGACCCTTTCTTGCAGGTCCAAATCACTCGCTACACTCGAACCTGGTCGTACCTTCGAACATGGCTACACGAACGCACCTGCTGGAGTCGACCTGGGTCATGTCTGTCATGTCTCCCAACAGCGGTTGAATGACCCTATAGACTATCCCATAGGTACCTCAGTAGGGCCCTATAAGGTCGCTGGCTACCTCTCTTGGTCATGTTCTGTCATGTCTCCTGCTTCGGGGCCTGGTTCGTGCCACATGCACCGAGATCTCGGCTGTGACCCTTCGCGTTCTGTTGACAAAAACAGCACCGATCGGTGCAGTTGAAACTCTCCACAGACCTTCCCTTTTGGGCTCCTGGCCCATATCCTCAGGTTCGGTGAGATTTGACCCCCAAGACCACCCACCCCAACCATCTTCTCAGGAGGTGGGCCAGGAGCCCTAGGGCTTATACATAGAACCATCCCATACATCCAGTTGTACCCTTCTAGAAGGTACAGGACCCCGGCGGTCCTCCTATCGGACCATTTCCTGTGGATCCATCGGGTGTGCTTGTTTACACCCATGCACGACAGTGGAACCCTATATAGCTATAAAAAGTCGAGTCTAGTCTAAGCTAGTCTAGTGGTTCATATGGGATAGGCGAAAAAGGGCTGTTCAACCTCTCTTTGACTGGTTTTCTATGGGGCGAAAAATGGGGCGGGTGGTGTGCTGGTCGTTTTGTGGTCGTTTTGTAGCACTTGCTCTTTCGTCTTCTCCGCCATCTTCAGGTGCTCTTCTTCTCGGATCCTTGCCGCTCCCCCTTGTCGCGCCTTGGCTCGGTCCCAGAGACCGGTGAAGAGCGCTCTTGTCCGACCCAGGAGCGTCACAAAGCTTGTGACCTCGCCAACCTACGTGATGGCCTTCCAACCTAAGAGGGACTAACTGACCACGTTCGATCTCAAAAGGAGAAGGTCCGTAGGAGGTCCGTAGGAGGTCCGTAGGAGGTCCTACGCAGTCGATGATGGATCGGTCCCAGGGCGAAAGCCTCAAGAAAGCCGAACGCTCGTGTGGCACCCTTCTTCTTCGCCGCCGAACGCTCGTGCTCGAGGCTCTTCCATGGCTCGACGGTGGAGCTGGCGGAGATGCAACAACTTAAGGCCGCCTCCCGCCACCTGAAGAGTGCCACTCGGTGGACTTGACGATCGCCCCCGCCACCTTACTCTACCCTAGGGATCCAGTCGTACCTTGTCAGAAGGTAATTGGAGCCGGAGCCTCCAAACCTACATAACAGATACTAACAGTGTCTCCAAACACCTTCTGAGAAGGTACTTGGATCCCTAGGGTCTATATATACCCGTTTGGGCTCCTGACCTACTGGAGGTATTCGAAGATGGTTATGGTGGGTGCCACGGGGGGGCTAACCACTGAATTTGAGGATATGGGCCAGGAGCCCTAGGGATATGAGGATTTTACACTACAAAACCAAGTTGATCATGATTGTTGCTCATGTTGCTCATGTCTTATCGGTTTTCCGATGGTCTTCCCGAATGGATGAGGATTTTACACAATAAACCAGGTCCGTCCATGTGGTGTCCCATTTCCAGGCGTTCGGACTCAGATCTTCGTTGTATGTTTGATCATTTGTCTCGTTCGAATTCGAGAAGGAAAACACTACGATTGCCTGGACGCCCAGTCCCAGAAACAGGAACAAGTCCGGATGTTTCCCCAGTCCCAGCCATTCCTTTTTGATAAAGGATCGAGTTTCCAAGTGGATCCAGGATCCAGGACGACTTTGCCTCCTTCTCCGTGAGATTTGGGAAAATTTGAGGAGTTGGCTTTCCTGCGATCTCACTTGATGCCAATGGAGTAAAGGATCCTTCTTAACAGGAAGGATCAAGTGCTCCACGCAGAAGGCACAGGCAGAATTGCTCAATCATGATGCTCACACTCCCTGGAACTAGCATGGTTTCGTGGATGGCATGGCCGATTTAGACCATGAGTCTTCCGAAGACCAAACAGGGGATGAATTCACTCCCATAACGAGTTCCAGGCAGAATCCTTGGACTCCCCCCCCCCGCAACGGCCTCCACAGACCCGACGCTCGGCCGACACGACAGCACCGGCACGACACCTTCAGCCGATCAGACGCCCAGGTGACCTCACGCACCGAAGCCGATCAGCGTCTTGGCCTGTCCGACGTCCGAATGTCGGGGGGGTCGGGGAGGCCGGATGGTGGTCCGGGCCCGGCAGTCGGGCCGGCCTGATTACCACAACGTATGGAGCCGAAGCATAGAGTCTATGTGGGTTGAAGAACATCTCCAAAACTCGGTTCCAGTCCGACTGAAGCAAGTCTGGATGGAGCTGCCGGAGGCGACTTCCTACTGTGTAAAGGATCTCAAGAAAAGCCATCTTGGAACAAGCAGAAGTTGGGACTGGGTTTCCAGGAAGGAAACATGTTCCTTTACCTTCTCCTGCTGTAAGTTGAGGTCACCCAACACCCTTGGAAAAGGGTATATCACGCTTCAACCACCTAGTGACCTAGTGAGTATAACTGGTGCTTTTCCTCAGCACTCGTTATGAGTAACTGGCAGGTGCACCTAATTGCTCATGGGATCCTTGGATGGTA